AAAGATTTTTTTTACAGGATTTGAAAATGATTTATGAATCTAAAACAAAAAACATTTTCAAGAAAGAGAAGAAAATGTTGAATTATTTGATGGACTGATAAATAAATAAAAGCATAAGAGCTGTAGCAGATTGGGGGGGGGGGGGAAAGAAAGTATTCTGAGGTTAGGATGGCACTCATCTGCTTTAGTTTAAATTTTAACCAGGCAAGTAAAATATCTCCATAGAGTATCTTCTACTTGTATATTTCTGACCCCAATGAGAATCCCAGGGAATAACAGATATAAAACTGTTTCATATCAGCAGCAGTGTTTTTAAGTGTATAGCTGCCTTGGGTTGTATATCAAGAGAATGGCAGGCTATAAAATGAATGATGAACCAATCAAGGGTCTTTCACAATACCATCAATCCCAGAGTCAGAAAGCACCCATTCATGAGAGGCAGAACATTTTAAAAAATACAGTGGGCAAGTAGTATCAGCTGGGATTTGGTTCCATTCAAAATCAGTGGATGTGCAAATCTCCTTATACCGTATATAATGGTGCAGTAAAATTATGTCCTTTATATACTATGGCAAAATAAAAGTTTGCAGTTTATAATTTAAAAAAATTAATTATGGATGATGGAATCCTCTTTGTATTTTGTTTCGAAAAATGTATTCAACTTAAATATAATAGATTTATTGGAACATTATGGTCTTTTTTACATAAAAAAATGCTGACATGACAGTAGCTAAAAGCTGGAGACTTTTTTCACAACTCTTCAAATGACAGTATCATAAAACATGCTTCCTGAGAGGTTTAGTTATGTATCAATTGTGCAAAAAGATCTGATTCTGCGGACTAAAATAAGCCCTGTCTGCTTGGATGAGGGGGCATTTATTGTGTGTGTGTGTGTGTTAAACTAAGCATAATAATAATAATAATAATAATAATAATAATAATAATAATAATAAGCATCATAATTTATACCCCACCACCATCTCTCAGAGGACTTGGATGGTGGAACAGTGAACAAATGGCTCAGATTCCCATTGGCAATGTCACTATCATGCCACAGATTGGCTACCCACCATAAAGAATGCCATCACTGTTAAATAGTTCTTAAAGTAAGTATGTTTTTCATATGTTTATGGATTATCTTTTCTTGCTATTTTAATTGGTATTATAGTCTCTCAAATGTATTCACAGATGGTGAACACGATGATCAAAGGTCTGGAAACCAAGGTTTGTGAAAAATGACTTATGGAGCTGGGTAAGTAGACCTGGGAGAAGACATGAGAGATGGCATGACAACCATCGTTAAATATCTGAAGGAATATCATATAAAAGATGAAATCATCTCTCTTTCTTCTGCTCTAGAGATTAGAAAATAATAAAAACTTTGGAAAAATTGGGACTCAAAGCAGCTCACAATGTAAAATAACAAAACAATACACAAACCAATAAAATCAAATTGCAATAAAAGAGAATCCACCTAAATATTAGGAAGATCTTCTTGACTTTAAGAACAGTTTGATGGTGGAAGAGAATGCCTCAATGGTGACACTATAATGAAGCATTCCTTTCCAGTCGTTTTTCTAACCCTTGCCCTGAATAGCATTGCATTTTCAAAGGAACCAGCATATTTTAATGCATCATGTTAACACGGTACTAAAAAACTGTCAGAACATCCTGGCATTTGTCCCATTTTTTTGACACCTGGAGTTTACCCCAGATTTTGGAATCGTTGTTCTTTTATTATTAGAGTTGCTTTCAGTAGTAAAACAAAAAGGCAGCCTTTGCAAATAATTCAAGTAAATGGGAAGCTAAGAATTCAATCCTGTACATACTTACTCACAATTAATTCTTACTGAGTTCGATGTGATGTGTGCCCAAGTAGGTGTGCACATCATGAAATCGATGGGGCTTACTTCTGAACACACGTTTCCTATTTCTTTGTTTTCTTTGTAGTAATGCTACTTAACTGCCATCAACTGAGAGTTTTCAGGAAAGGAACAAACAACTGTAACCAATGAGCACAAAAATGGTACTAGTCCCTAGCACATTGGTGGCGGCGGGGAGGGGGGAGTGTCTTCCTCACATTATGTAGTTTAGGAAGCAATGATTTACAGAAATGTATTACAAGGGGTGTTAGTTTGAGAAGTGTGTACCGCAGATTTGTAGCAGTTTTTCTGTTTCTTTTCGCGTTGTACTTGGATGTTCTGACTGCCAGAGCTGAGTTTGACTTTTTTGGGGAGGACTTTTGGATTGATGATATAATAGCCATTACGGCGTATTTAAAAATATCTGAAATGAGTACATCTTTAAGAGCTCTTGCATTTAAATTGCAGATGTTAATTACTGTGAATTCGACAGGATGGAATATGAGGCTAACATAAAGTGGCAGGCAGAGGAGAAAAAGGGCCAAAGGCTTATAAGAAACTGAAGCTGACTAGCCTAGATGCCTTTGAGGTCTGACTATTTGAACTGTTCGGAACTGTATGAGGAAGAGAAGGATTAGAGTGGGGAGTTGGAATGGAAGTTAATAAGGTCGCTCTGATGGATAATATAGCATCATTCCATTCCCCATGAAAACAGCCATATTGTCTTGGAGATGAGACTGAGGAAGAAGCTTTTCATTCAAAACAAAACAGAAGAGGAAAAACAACACTGAAACCCACAAGGTGCCAAATTAAAAACCACCAGTGATAGGAACTCCTGGTTTGTATTCTCTAATTAAAGCCTGTATTAGGATAATCGATCTAGTTTTAAATCCAAAGCGTTTGGTTGCCAAATATTTATTCTGATCTAGGAAAATCAGCAGTCTCTGGTTTTTTTTACAGTCAGCATGGCAGAATAATCATGAAACTCACTTTGGACTTCATCAAACAGCTGTTAGGGTCAGTTTCCATGCACTGAGAGAAAATGGAATCCCACAGGGACTCCATGCGGGACATCACATGATATAAAGGCACTTCTGGTGGGACTCTGTGGGACTCTTGTTTTCTAAGTGTATGTAAATGGAGTCTAGCAGATGATTCCAAGCATTGGAAAGTGGGGGAAAGCTAGGAAAAGGTGTGGTGAGTACATGGGATGGCTGGCCATCCCAGAAGATGGGGAAAGATGGAAGGGAAGGGGTTAAGATGGTTCCCTCCACTTTCTTCATTTTCTACCACTCTATCTGATGAAATCCTAAGAAGCCCACTAATGATAATTGTAGTTTTCCGGTTGTACAGTGATATTTAATTGTATAGCAGAGTTTTGATGGCAGTATGTTGTTATTTGTGCAGCCTCTATATTGGGACCCCAGGATGCATAAACCTAAGACTGTGTTTTATAATAAGACGACTTTTGATAAGTGCTGCAAAATACAATTCACATATAATAGCAACATTTTAACATTCCAGATGGCAGAAGACTGTGAACAAAATATAGAGAAAATCCAAAACTCTGATGACCACATAACACATTCAACTATCATTACTAGCCACTTAGGTCTCCCATGTTTCAGTCTCAAATCTGTTGCTGTTATCTTAGTACCTGAAAGAAAGGATTTTCATGCTGAAGCTTCTAACAAATGTTTCCATGGTATCTGTTTATTTGCTTCCTGCATTCCTCCCCTCTGCTCATAAGTTCATAGCCAAGATTCATGGCCAGCTTCAAATACTGTAGTAAAATTATCCTGTGTTCCCTGTCATCAAGGCTGTATACTTTCTAGACCTTGTTATAGTTGACACTGAGCAAGAAATTTATTTATTCATATATATATATATAAGTACAAGAAGGATTAATTGTTCCTTGCATAAAACATATAGGTCTTTGCTCTCAATGGGTTTGTACAGAAAATAGTGGAAATAACATGAGGAAGAGGGAAAGAAGAAGAGAGAGTAGGGTCGCCAGATTAAGAACTGGAAATAGCAACGTACTGCTGGACACAAAACTAAGTTTATGATTTTTTTATCATCCTTTCCTTGAAGTTGCTTATAACAATACACAAGCCTCCCACCATTTTAATCTTCATTCCATTCTGCAACTGAATTGATAGATGTTACAAAGTGATCTTCAGAAGTAAGATTGTGAAAACTGGTCTCCATGTTCCTAATCCAACTCTAAATATTAAGTAAGGTACCTTGTATCTCAGTGTTTCTTGGATACAAAAGGTTAAAGTAAATCAGCAATTTGGCAATAAAGAATTTCCACCTCAGACAATAAAGAAAAGAAGAGATTCCTTGTTTCTCACAGATGAACTTAAGAAAGACTACAGATTCAGATGGAAAGACCCAGAAGGATTTATATCTTATAAAGGACAAATATGATGGTTAATATCAGTCATGAAGGTGGACTGGAACATACTCCTTTGACATAAGGGTCAAGGTCCACCGAAACATGTCAAAAAGAGCTAGACTGGCCCCAATGAGCATCCTTATTGGTCAATACCAAGCTCATAGAAAAAGATACAGTCCTTCAGGTAACCTTCAGGTGTCATCCTAAAAACAACCCAAAAACGAGCAAGATATCTGTTGGCAATTTAAGACACATACAGCATCCTTAGGGATAGTTTGTATAATTAGATATTTACAGCTCAAACCCCACTAATTTGTTTACCATTCTAATAATGGTAATTTTAAAGGCAAATGTAATATCTGCTGTTACTGTAGATGAAAGTAAGTTCCACCCAGCTGCACAAGATAATCACAGAGGTAAAATGAACAAATTTGAATAGTGTTAAAAAGCAATCTGTGAGGAATAGCATCTCATAATCCTGATAAGAGAAAAGTGGATAAGGACGTTACTTTTCAGAAAATCTGCTCCTCAACCCTATCTGCATGCAAAATTTAAACTTTTAATTATAATTAACAGTTTTGGGATGGCATGATCCTTTGGAGAGCCAGGTGTTCTTGTTAGTATTCCCTTAATGTGTATTAAAATAAATTCCTATCTGCAGTTCAACTGTGGAACACATATAATTCAATAGTAGAAAAGTAATGAAGGCAATTCAAATTAACTGCTAGCATACTTACAGTTGCATTTCTTCTGTACAAATCTAAGCTTGCATGCTGTTCTGTAGGTGGACAAACGGATGCCATCCAGATCTTGAGCACCTAATAACAGAAAGGTATAAACATGCTGTGATAACTTGCAGTATCAGCACCTAGCTCACACATACAAACAAGAATACAGAGGAGTGTTCACATGGGCCTTCTCAAAGTTGTCTTTTCTTACCATTATCAGCCCAAATGAAAAATAATCTAATCTTAAAAAAGAAAAAAATGACTAAGCTATCATACCAAGAAAAAAAAATCAAATTTCAGTGTTTGTTGTATGAAGACAAATTCCATTAGCAGATCACTTCTTAATTTTAAAAAAGGCTTATTTTGGCAATCTTCCCCTTAACCATATTGTCTCACTTTGCAGCCCACCTGTTCAGGAGGGAAAGGACTGTAAAGCGGAAAATAAATACATTATACTCAAATTCAAATTCAGAATAATGTTTACGTTTGTATCAAATGTTGTACTAGTGAGATTGAGTCTCAAGAAGTTGGTTTCACTATGCCATCTTTTTCATTATCAGTCCTCTGTGTGTTTGTATCTTTCTTTCTTTGTCCTGCCTGACATTCATAGAGTCACCAGTTTTAGGTATGGTTTAATATCAAAACATCACCAATAGTTTTAAAGAGATAGTTCTGCCTATTACTAAATTGATAAATGTAGCATCTGTAGCATTCAAAGTTAAGCTTTTTAGATTCATTGTAGACACTGCAGTCATTATAAAAACAGGATTAGTTTCTTTTCTAAGCCTTGGCTGACAGAGTCATAGCATCATGACATGAGACAGGACATTTATACAGACAGATACTCCAATCATATAAAAAGACAGAGTACATATGCATGTGGATATCCAGTGTTAATAGCAGTAGGGTGCTGAACCTCTCCTGTGTTCTCTGCCTTCTTATAATCCCCACTCACAATCATTTCCCATGCAAACATACACAGAAACCAAATTTGTACAGTGGATACTCTTTGAACATTACAGTACATGCCCTGTATTCATGACAGAAACATTCCATTGTGGATACCTGAAACCATGGATCACAGCAAATCCTATATTTTGAGCACACATGGGCTGGAAGTGTTCCATAGCATGATACTGGATGACCTAGGGACAACCAGAAACACTTCGGGGGGGGGGGGGGGGGGGGGGGGGGTGTATTTTGGGAGGGCTGTGGGTAACTGAAACAATGGATGTATTTCCACTGATAATTATGTCATACTGTATGTGTGAATAACTGTACTATAACTATGTACTAATGTACATCTGTAGACAGACTGCATAATTGTTACATGTAAATATTCCTCCAGTATAGATTCCTTCATTAATGGTACAGTTTGGGTCCAGCCTATTTGCATGACTGCACCTCCCAACTAAGCCCCTTAGGTCTGCTGGGGAGGCCCTACGCATGGTCCCATGACCCTTACAGGTGTGGCTGGTGGGGCCTAGAGAAAGGGCCTTCCTAGTCATAACCCAAACGCTCTCTCCAAGGAGATCAGACTGGCTCCCATTCTCATAACCTTTAGAAAGGAACTAAAAACATGGATGTGGAATCAGGCTTTTGACAATGGTTAACTACAACTTAAGTGATGGAGTTCTTAATTGATCCCAATATTAACTGGATTTTAATTGTTTTATTAAAAGGAGCTGGTTTTTGACTTTTGCATATAACATGCTTTAGCATGTTGTTCTTTTCTCGACAAAAACACAACAAATATAGCTATCATATATATTATATTTATTGTGTTTTTGTTGATATAATAAATATGTCTATTATTGTTTTATTTTTGTTTATGTATCATGATTTGCTGAGTTTTCTTGTCTTGGTTGGTTGAGTATTATTATGTATGCCATATATTTTGAGTCCCTTTGGGGAGAGGGGGTGGGATATAAATAGTTTGTTTATATTTTTTATTTATTTGGTTAGGGAGAAGAATATTCAGAAATACAAGTTAAGATAATGTTAAGATAACTTCTACATGATGGGCAATTTGAAATTTAAAGCCACAGAACCATCACTGTGTTATTTAAGTTATTCCATAGTGCACTCCAAAAATGTCTTAGGAAAAATAATTCAAATAACGAAGTCACCTCAAAACAATAAAGAAATAAGTTATACTAGCTGATACTCAGCCTACTGCCAGGGATGTTTTTGTGGCCCCCAGGAGTCAAAATTTTGTTGTCTCCCCAACAGCCATGAATGTTTTCTAGACTGTATTAAATGAATATTTGCCAAGCTGTAAGCCCCTCCACCTTTGTTTTTTTGTGGTTGAAAAAAACAGGAAAAGTATAAATGACCATTCCCTTTCTGTTAAAAAAAGCCTTCTCCAGGGCCTAAAATGGCCTGGAGGTACATAAAAGGGAATAAAAACTAGAATACCCCCGTATCTTTTATATTCATATAAAGGCAAAAAATGCAGCAGGTGTTGCTTTTCATTCAACCAGGAAGCAAGCAACACCTGTTGAAACTCTTGTGCCTATGCAGCTCTTAGAGGAAGGGCCTCTAGTTTTTAGTTTGACAAACCGAACCAAATAACATGGCAAAAACGTGTTTACAGCCTAAAGCATATCTGGCCCCAACCTCCCATAGTTGCCTACACCTTTTTAAAGAAACCCAAATACAAAAGGAGAAAAAGAATTATGAGTCTAACACATTGGCCTAACACTGAACAGAGTGTTTTTCTTAAGTCAGTATGAATGGGATATACATGCGAGTATAAGCCTGTCTTGATAAAACAGGTTGCAAGTGGTCTTTCCCTATAGGAAAATTGCTAACCACCATTCACTCATTTCTGTATTGGTATTTTGGAACTAATTCACCTTGAGTGTAGTTTGTCGGCCAAGCATGTTCAGGACATTATGTGAAGTCTCAATCGGAAAGAAGTGAAACTAAGTTCACTAAGAGCACTGATTACAATTAAATGGAGTCTCGGTGCTATGTTTAAACTGGATATGTTGTTCTCATAGGCCAATTACCTCCTGGCTATTCTAAAACAATAAGGAAAGTTTATTATTAATTAGTGAAATGACATACTTTTGACTGGTCAATTGATCAAAAAATGAACTGCATTTAAGGTACTGAGGAGTTATTGCTTAAAGAGGATCCAAAGTTTTTGGAACTCTATCAGTCATTTCATCCCAAAGTATTCTGGAAGAACACATATAAGAAGTAAAATCTCAGATTTGGTTTATCTCTGTTGCCTTACAAAAGCACCATAGGGTAAAGTTTCCATGGCATCCCTATCTCCTTTACAACATGAGAAAAGCCTATGTTCCCTTTTCATTAAGCCAGACTGAAAGATCTGAAAATATTTTTGTTCATAATTTTGGTCTGCAGGTGTGAGAGGAGCAATTGCAGCTGTGGGGAAAAATAGGCAAAGCTGAACTGAACGAATGAAGTTGAAAAGCATTATATTTAACTGATGTGCGTGATCTTACAAAAATATCAAGTCTTTGAAAAGAGTTTATTCAAGAAAAATAAGTAGAAGAAAACTGAACACAAATTGAAGGATTTATCAGAGAATCTGAAGAAAAAATATTGTAAAATTAAGATGTTTTCTCTTGGCATTATGATTATAATGCAGAGAATGAAAACTTATAGATCTGTAAAGTCACACTTTCAAGATAGGAGGAAAGAAAGTAGCAGCATTATCCCCCCCTCCCAGCTAACACCACCCACTATACTTTTGCTTACTTTTCTCCTTTCAATTCCCCATCTGCCAGCCACTCTTCACTCAAGGAGTTTACCAATGGGCTGAATGAATACCATCTGTTCCTGGCAAAAGCTCCCCTGAACTATGCACTGTCTTTTTCTAAACACTTTTCATTTCCCTCCAAGACAGCTTATTCAAAAACAAAATATGACTTTCCTCCTTCCATTAGTTATATCACTGAAGAATTAGAAAACCCATTGAATCAGCCAACTTGTTTCTCTCATGTCACATCACTAAAATGACACGTTGCCCAAGTCATCATTGTCGTCCTCCTTTTTTCAAACAATTCTTTTTGCTCAGTTCAAGCTATGTTTAACTACAGTCCAGTATGTTCATATTGTTTATTGCTGAAAGGGAAGGAGCAGTGGCTATCAATATTTTTTGAACATTGAACAGTATCTGCGTCCCTATCTGCACTGCCATATGCCCCACTCACAGCCGGCAGCCCCTGAAAAGGGGGCTACACTTGGGCTGGAATGAGGGTTCTCACTCTTGAAAAACTGTGAAGTTTCGGAGGGAGTGCCCTCAGGAAGGCTTTCTAGTCATCATCAGCCAAGAGGTGCAGCCAAATAATTTTGGGTGGCCTTTGGGATTTATGGTACTCATATATCCTGAGAGGTGGTCAGAGGGAGTGACACCTGGCACAGGGACAGTTCTCACTAGGTGACTTTACAGGTTAATTTCCCTTAACAGTTTGTTCCCAAGTCATTCCAAAAGTTCTAAATAAATAAATAGGTCCGGAAAAAAATAGGTTAGACCCATTTTACCATGTATAGTCTTTTTATTTCACAGTGGGAGTTAAAAATGCAGTTTTAGAATGCAATTTGACTGCATTGAACTACATTATATGGTAGTGTGGACTCATATAATCCAGTACAACTGCATTGTGAAACTACATCATATGGCAGTGTAGATGGGACATTCCATTGCATTGGAGGGCAGCAGGTTCAGACGTCAGGTCACAATTCTGGTCATCCCACAAATGTTTGCAATTGCTTGCTTACTTCTTCCACAGTGTGTGTTGCAATTCAAAAGCAACATGAACAATGTTAGCAGAACAGTGCAATGTCTAGTAGAGCATTCAGTGTAGACCATCTGCCTTTCAGGCACCTTACTGAGTCATGGGTCTTTCACACCAATACTGTCTGTGATGTATTGCCGGAACAGAGCTAGGGAAGACAGTCAATCAGTTCAGGCTAACAAGATGCAAGTGTGGTACAACCTTTGTATCCATGGATAATGTTCCAACTTTTGTGTGGATATGCAAAACCCCAGATAATAAGGAACTCTATTGAAATGAAGGTTTCCTGGATCAAGAATACCATAGAGTCATGCTATACTTAGAAAATGGCTACAGAGGACATATCTTGTTGGAGAGGGATAAATAAAACAGAAGATACTAGTTCTGCAGAGACAGGGCTTGTACCATGTTAAAGTCAGCAACACACCTATGAAACCAGATAGCAGGGAGTCAGGGGGAGGAAGCACAGAGACGAGGAGGAGGAGAAGGAATAGATTGTCATTGTCAAATTCATGGTAATATCATTGTTATCACTTTGAAGTGGATATTGGATTTGTTTTTTTATTTGGGTGGCTTTGGTTGTTTTGGTGATGATTATTAGATGGAATAGATATAATTTCTACAAGACTCTCTAAGCACCTGTCTCTGGAGGTGAACATCTTGCTCTGCCTAAGGTTCCCTGCTGTTTGTCAGTTGTGGAAATAAAATATTAGTTTAAAAAAGAGATAGCAGAATTGTCATCAAATAGCCACAAACAAAAGAAACAGGATTTGTCCTTTTCCGAGGTGAATGTAATTCTGCTAATAATTGTATTTGTATTTTTGATTTGGCTTGCCACAATTTTTCTACAAACACAGTATTTATGGCATGGTGATTGATTACAAAGAAATTACAAAAGAACAAATTAATAAGCAAATTATGTAAAATCAACATTAGCTTTCTAACGTGATTCTCTATCTTTAACAGTGTAATTGCTAAATGAGTTGTTTATAAAAATTGCTTTCATATGCTATGACAGCAGTTTGCAGACACAATAAAGAAATGCATTACAAGAGCTGGCTGGTATTTGCATAGTCAACAAGATTATATTTCTACTAGTTAACATATGGTAGTAGTTCAGAGTTTTGGTTTATGTATGTAAGGCATTGAATTTTGTAGTTATTTTTGTGTAAACTGCTTTGAGTCCCCCGAGGGGTGAGAAAAGCGGTATAGAAATACTGCAAACAAATGTTGTAAATAGAATAATGTTAATCTGGAGAAATAGGATTTTACTATTCACATCTCTTTTTTTCCTCTCCAAATAATATATTTTATTATGATAGATATGCTCACATTGAATCTCTTAGAAGTAGAGACAGTAGAAAATAGTTTTTACTCTATGGAGCTAGAAAAAGGTTAATTAAGTATACTTTCTTGCAACTTGTCTCACATTGAAAGCCCTTTAAAACCCCTATGTTCTAAAACAAGTTGTCTAGAGATCTGGGCTCAAATCCATGCAATATTTACTAAAGCTTCATTCTGCCGTTTTGGCCTTTTGCAAGAAATAATTCATCTGCCAGAGGAAAAAAAAAACAATGTCACTGCACTTACGCATTTCTGCAAACAGCTGCCTCCTTTCTGCCATGGTAGTTCCTCTTTTCCCACAGTCTTCAATCATTCTAGGCAACAAAAATATTAAGCATATCTTCAGAAACATTTCGTAAATTATACACATTTGCCAAGATGTTTAAAATGTTCTGGCTTACTCTTTCCCCTCTACAACATATTCAAGAACATCTCTTGTAAGCAATTTATAATTTAAATTTCACCCTCAAATATCTACATTTTTACCTTGACCCTCTCTCCATAAAACAGTGTTTCTCAACCTGGGGGTTGGGACCCTGGCGGGGTTGTGAGGGGTTTCAGAGGGATCTCCAAAGACCATCAGAAAACATATATTTCTGATGTTTCTAGGAACTCTTTTGGCAGAGAAGGCTAAAGATCTCTCTGACTGTCCTTCTCTTCCTTTTTGGAAATAGACAGCAAATCCTCCCACCAAAGCTCTCCTCTGCTGTGATTGGCTGACCTCTCAGCCAAAGGGAGGGCTGTTTCTGAAACTCACAAGTGGGGAGGGGAGAGCAGGCATGCTCGGTGCATGGAAGTGGTGCGCATGTGTGGGCAAGGGAGAGCGTATGAAGCTGGAAGGTGTGTTTGCACCAGCAAGCCCCTTTAAGGCAGAGGGAGGGGTTCTGTGGGAAGTTTGGCCCATTTCTACAATTGGTGGGGTTCAGAATGCTCTTTGATTGTTGGTGAACTATAAATCCCAGCAACTACAACTCCCAAATGCCAAGTGTATTTTCCCCACACTCCACCAGTATTCACATTTGAGTATTTGTGTCAATTTTGGACCGGATCCATCATTGTTTGAGTTCACAGTGCTCTCTGGATGCAAATGAACTACAACTCCAAAAGTCAAGGTCAATGTCCACCAAACTCTTCCAGTATTTTCTGTTGGTCATGGGAGTTATGTGTGCCAAATTTGGCTCAATTCCATCGTTGGTGGAGTTCCGAATGCGCTTTGATTGTAGGTGAACTATAAATTCTAGTAACTACAACTCCCAAATGACAAAATCAATCCCCACCAGTATTCAACTTTGGGTGTATTGGGTATGTGCCAAATTTGATCCAGTGAATGAAAATACATCCTGCATATAAGATATTTACATTACGATTCATAACAGTAACAAAATTACAGTTCTGAAGTAGCAACAAAAATAATTTTATGGTTGGGAATCACCATAACATGAAGAACTGTATTAAGGGGTCTCAACATTAGGAACGTTGAGAAACACTGCCATAGAACAATGCTTAGTTCTTTCTTTGTAGCTTCAGTGAAAACCTTTTAAATGAAGCTCCATCATATGGACCACTGTGCATCTTCTTTTCCCTAGTCAATCAATTCTAAATTTCTAATTTTATGTTGTGTCTCTGAGGCTTCCTCCCATTAGTTTACATTGACTTTAGGCCAGAATAGTATCTGCAACTCTGAAAACTACACGAGTTTAGATTTCCTTACTTCAAAATGATACCAAAAACTGTTGGGCATAAATAATTACATCTAATTTAAATTAGTACATAGCTTCTTAAGGAAACACAAACAGACAATGAGAATTCTGCAGATTTCAGCTTTCAGGATTGTCTTAGCCAGCGGTTGGGATCCATAAGAAAATTAGTTTGAATATAATGTTTTCATGTGTATGCCTTCCAGAAGCACATCTGTCCAGATAATCCTTATGTTGGATGTGCTATGCAAAATGCAATCTAGTGCAATGCAAAACAGACAATATTCCCATTGTTTTAGTGACATTGTTTTTTCTGCCCTAAAGAAATCCTGGTGAAGAGAAGGTTAAGTTACTATGGTAGGTGAAACCATCTTTACAGAATTACTAACTTCAGCAATCCATGAAGTTAATAGCTGAAATGGAGAAAGGTTATTACAGAGCCCCCTCTGTCTTAATGGATTTACAGCTGCATTGCAAATCCCTTGTTGCATTTCTTCTAATAAAGTAATCCTCTAGCAGGAGGTCCTTCTTCTCAGCTATACATTTCAGCACTAATCTTTGCCAATATCATAAAATTGCTCCTTGTTTTCCCCCTAAGGCTGCTTATAACTGTAATGCACTTATAGAATTTGCTTGTACTTCATCCAGTTGAGCTACTCAGGGTTTTTAGTTTGCAAATTCAGACCAACTATGATAGTTGTTGTTTTGCATTGTTTTTCTGATAAAAAAACTGCATTAAAAACCTAAATTTCATCGTAATGCTCTCTGCTGTCAAAATGCAATACTCTCTTAATAAATCCCAGCAGGTAGTTTTAATTCAATACTCTCCTCTATGAGTTCTACATGAGTTTTAAAGATGAGACTGAAGACACTGCTTTGACCTAATTGTACCATTGGGTAGTAGTTGCAACATCTCTTTTACCTTTAATGTATCTATAATGGCTGCGCAAAAGAGGGGATTTAAGCAGGTGTTCCCTGTGACACAACCAGGTAGCAAACAACAATGGCTAAAATTGCCATTTCTGCAAAACTATTAAAGTTATAGGTGCTCCACCCAGATTTCAGTCTGGCAACTAAGTATATTCTAGGTAGAACTAATGTTGGATTTAGATGCCTGAGCACTAATAGGTTTAGCATTAAATGGGAATTACTGAAAAATAAAAAAGAAGTATCAGTGTTCAGAAATACCCTAAGGTATGCACAATTAATTAATAAATCTCTAGTTACTTTATAGCCACATTTTGAAAACAATTATTCTCCCATTTCTCAAAAGCAATTAAATAGTTTATTCTCATTTGCTTTTAAAGCACATCTGAATACTTCAAGGCACTATGGTAACACATGTGTTCTCCACTCAGTCACGTTATTGTTGTCTCGACACCCAAAATATAGTGCATAGCAGTAGTAGGTGCTATCCTCCCTGAATTATTTAATGATGCTACATCCAAATGTTTAAACAATTTGGAACAATAAAAATAATGTAAACATTATAAAGACATAGAATCATTGAAAAAATAGGAAAGATAAATACATTTAAAGCTATGTATTATCTATTAAAGCTATTATATTAAACATATTAAAGCTATGTATTGCTGGGATTGTGGCGCAGCTGGCTGAGTGTCAGCTGCATTAAGATCACTCTGACCAAAAGGTCATGAGTTCGAAGCCAGCCCGGGTTGGAGTGGGTTTCCAACCAATTGTGTGTAGCCTTTTGTCGACCTTTGCAACCCGAAAGACAGTTGCATCTGTCAAATAGGACAATTAGGTACCACCTTAAAATGTGGGGAGGCTAAATTAACTAATTTATGAGGCTATAAAGAAGACTCCAGCAGAACATTCCAGGGGGAAGCATGCGGGGACTGCGGAAGTACTTCATCAGCGTCATAGGTGGATGATAAAAGCAACAGCTGCCCTGGCGACCAGAAAAAGTTAAATAGTCTCTGTGTATGTCTGTATATGTTTGTATGTCAAAAATTGGCATTGAATGTTTGCCATATATGTGTACACTATAATCTGCCCTGAGTCCCCTGCGGGGTGAGAAGGGCGGAATATAAAAGCTGTAAATAAATAAATAAATAAATAAATAAATAAATAAATAAATTTGTGGCCGCATCCCCCTCAACCTCTCCTCTTGGTCCTGCCACCATCACAAGTGCGGTTGGCCTCAGTTGTTGAAGACCTGGTTATTTGAACAAGCTTTTGATAATGCCTAGTCCCTATTTGTTCTATGCAATAGTTATACAACCTTGCACTTCATCCCATGCCCTCATTCCACGATTTTTTTGTGTATGTCAGGAGTGACTTGAGAAACTGCCAGTTGCTTCTGGTGTGAGAGAATTGGCTGCCTGGAAATATGTTGCTCAGGGGACGACTGGGTATTTTTGATATTTTACCATCCTTATAGGAGGCTTCTCTCATATCCCCACATGAGAGCTGGAGCTGACATCCGCACTCTCCCCGGATTTGAACCTCTGACCTGTCAGTCTTCAGTCCTGCCAGCACAAGAGTTTAACCCATTGTGCCACCGGGGGCTCCATTTCATGATTACAACTCTGCACTTATCCCACTCCCTTGTCCTATTGCTTGTAGCCTGCCCACGTCTTACAGTAGCTTACCGCCATTTGGTTGGTTTATTTATTTATCGTGTCAGAAGCAAACTAAACAGTTGTATTGCATTTTTAACAAACAAACAAACAAAACACAAAGTTTGCAAGCTTGGTAGTTGATTAAATGTCCTTTGACCAGTAGCTGGCCACTTGGAGTGCCTCTGGTGTTACAATAAGAAGGTGCTCCATTGTGCATGTGGCAGGGCTCAGGTTGCATTGCAGCAGGTGGTCTGTAGTTTGCTCTTCTCCACACTTGCATGTCATGGATTCCTCTTTGTAGCCCCATTCGGTTGGTGAGCGCTGTTATTTAATTTTTAAGTTGCTGTTTATGCCTTTATGTTTTGTTCAATTGTATTTTATATTGTGCTTCATTTCATGTTTTGTTTTTAGGCACTTGTGCCATGTGTAAGCTGCCCTGAGACCCTTTGGGGAGATGGTGGTGGGATACAAGAATAAAATTGTTGTTGTTGTTACTGTTGTTGTTTGGAATCATTAGCCCAAAGGGAATTAATAAACAGGCTCCATAATCAAACGGGCATCCACGAGGAAGGCATTCTACAACTGAACAAGGCCCTCTTCCATGTCCTGACACCATGCATTGCATCCACCAGTACACTTAGAATGGCCCTTCCAATAGATCTCAATTTTTGAGCAAGCAAATATGGAGGGACCACTCCTTCAAAAAGATCAAAGTCCCAATCCATTTTTGGATTTGGTTGTCATTAAAAACACATTTGAATTCCTTCAACTATTAAGGTCCCAACTCATTTATGGATTTGAATGTTGTTAAAAACACAGCAAACGCAGGTGAGAAATGCATTGGCAGCTAGTGCAATCCTTTTAGCATCAGTGTTATATGGTTCTTATATGCTGTCTCAGCAATCTAGCTGCTGAAGTTTTGTAGGTTCATACAGATATACACTAACTTGGGTGATAGATTGGAATATTGCAGCATCCACCCCCACAATATACACATTACAGAATTATAGTGCTAGTATTCAATTTATCTGC